GCCTCCTCCCCCCCCCCCCCTCCCTCCCATCCGATCCCAATCGATTTGCTCTTTCGGTGGACCGACACGAATTTTTCAATGCGAGACTATATAGAGAGGGGGAGGGCGGAGGATCAAGTTGCACAAACGACTAATTGCACACGATTGAAACCGAGTGTCGCGTTATGGCAGATCGGTCACTAAAAAGTAGAGGAAACGGATCGGCTGCCGCGGCGGCGGCGAGATAAACGTACTGACTATTTTAGCGAATCGAGATTCAACTATGTACCTTGATATATAATATACCTTGCGCGTGTTTTGAGAAAGTATGTACGAGTCCGAGATACCGAGCACGAGAGAGAGAGAGAGAGAGACAGGGAGAGAATTTCTGAGAAACGAATGCGTGTGCGTGTGAGCGTGCCAAACTAACGAGGCTGAGTGAAAGAGATGAAGCAAACATATGTATGCAGCGACCGTCGCTTAAAATCTGACATTCTGCGGTAGAAATCTTGCCGAACGATCGAGACTCCCTATAAGTCGTAGGATACTGAAAAAGAAAGTGCGCTGTAACACTCGGCGAGACGAATTTCTGATTCCAGAACCCGGGTGCCAGTGCAGATCGTGCGGCAAAGATAAAGAGATAGTTTTAGAAAAGGATCGTAATACAAATGATTTGTATCGATATACGAAACCTAGTGAATTTTCTATGGATTTCAAGCATCGAGGAATTGATTTCACCATGCTCGCGCAAAATTTCGGCCTTGCTTTCGGTCACGCCTCCGGCGATACCTCTCCGAGGCTTGTCTTATTTGTAATATCATGTAGTCTTATTTTTTAAGCGATTATACAGTGACAAACGTTCCTCCGGGCCGTTGTCGAGAGCCTCGGGGAAGCTCCGCAAGGGGAATGTCAAGTAATAAATTTGTCTATTCTGCACGATTTTCGCTAACAGCAAGGTTCTCCAACCAACTGTAAATTTCTTTTAATTCGCTCGGTGTTGCTGAAATTTTTGTTGCTGTCTTACAGTGGACAGCAGGATTCTCGCAAATAAGATGACAGAGTGTTCAGTTTTAAGCCGCTGGTCCTGCACACTATATATATATATATATATATATATATATATATATATATATATATATATATATATATATATATATATATATATATATATATATATATATATATATATATATATATATATATATATATATATATATATATATATATATATATATATATATATATATATATATATATATATATATATATATATATATATATATATATATATATATATATATATATATATATATATATATATATATATATATATATATATATATATATATATATATATATATATATATATATATATATATATATATATATATATACATATATATACATACATATGTATATATATAATATAATAAACGATACACGAAGGGAAATTACGACACCCTGAGAATTGGTCAAGATCTGAATCGGAACTAACGAATAAGAGACGAAGACACAAGAAAGGATAAAAACAAGTCGAGACAGGTTTCGTCGACGACGTATAATTTACTCGAGAGACGAGTGGGGATAAGCCTCCATTCTTATCTGTATCGTTCTTCGAACGTTATTTGAAGCTTTCCGTCACCAGCTGGTAAGCCAAGATGGCGGCGACTTTGCGAGAGCTTCAAGTAACTCGAGCCCAAACGAGGATAAATCGTCCCTCGATCCAGCAGAATCGTACACTATTCGTCAAAAGCAGATGAAATTTCAGTTTTGTTTGCGGAGAAGCATATTTGGAATATCAAACGATCCACACAACCATGTATCTCTTATTCGAGTCTCCGAATGCAAATGCTTCGATTCAGAGAATGCCCGGTTCCGAAAGCAAACGAACGGTCGCGTTCCGTCTCACGGAGGCGATGATCGTCTTTTCCTATATGTATTTCCCACCCCCGCCCTCCTCTCTTCGAAAAATAATCTTAAGGGTAACAAAACCTTCCGGAAGACACAAAGTGACAAAAGCGCCGCAAGAACGCGACCGTTCGGATTCCCGTTTTCTCGCACGCGCGGCTCGGTCGCCAACCTAAGCGAGACAGAACAAAATTGTGAACGCGACCGCGTGTTCTTTTTGGTCGCTCGAATACGAACACGCGGACCGTCCGTCGCCGGCCGCAAGTGCGCGAGACAATAAAACCCGCGAACGGTTTCTGTTCCCGCGACCGTGTGTAATCGGCGCGCGCGAAGCAAGCTTGGGTGTGTGTCGCATGATTTTTCATTTCCTCCGCGCGACTCGAGGGGGCCCCGAACGTCTGCCCGCTCGAACGAATTCGAGTTTCGTTTTCACGCCTACGAACAGCTCACGTGATCTCACCAACGATGGTGGCCCGTCAATTATTAAATTAATTAAGTTGTCCCCGTTGCGAATTGGCCAGTAAGATATCGTCGGGGGTCCCGGTTTCCGGACGTCCACGAGGATGTCTGGATCCTGGACGAAAGCGCCGTGGAAGCAGTCGACGATCATTTCTGTAATACGCTGCGAGCCACGCTCGCAATAATGGCGGAACGAATTTTTTTGTATGTCGCCGATCCTCGCTTTTAATCGACCGCGTCGTCCTCAGCGTGTGCCGCGGTCACCAGAAATTCTTTAGATCATGCTCGGACCCTTTACGATCCGCCTACCGTCGCACTCTCTGCCCACAAACGCATCATTCGACACTGTTCAGGAAAGCATTGTAAAACAGTCAATCTCTCTGCCGCGAACGTTCGTTCAGAATTTCATAAACTTGCTTGCTGAGAGGGTCCGAGTGCCAAATTGAAGGAGTCTGATTTAAATGGTTTTCGACCGCTGCCATGCTGGGGAACGACAGCTTTCTCTCTGCCACCGATCGCCTCGATCGAACACACTGGACACATTTAGGTTTCCCCGAGATGGTGGACTTAGAATTTAGGACTACTTCCATGGTAGGCCTACATTAGGACGACCCGAGGCCGCGAAGCCTCTCTGCCTTCTGCCCGAGGTTCCCCGTTGCGAACCGGCAAGTTTCACGAGAGATTTGCCCGGCAATGCCCAGGAATATTCTCCAAACGGCGGGAGTCTATAAAGTTCCGGAAGGCGGCACACGCGGTTCCTCGGGGACTCCCCTACCCTCCGAGACCGGGGCCCCGCGACGCGAGAAAAATCGATCGTGGAATTGTTGCGGTGAAATTGAACACAGACGAAAATGGCAAAGCGTCTGGATATGAAAACGGCCTTTCTCTCAGCGCGCAGGCGTCCGTCCGCTCGAGCGGCGGCTGTCCTACAAAACCACGTGGCATTTCTTCGTACTATTTACGTTTTACCTCCTTCGTACCGTATAAGCTTAGAATCCTCCACCGAGCATCGCTGTACAGAGCATCGTCCCGCGAGATTCTGGATGGCTTTAAACCGAAACGACTAACGAGCGAGACGTTTGCGTCGCTAAGCGCCGGAAACGGCAACGCCCGGCGAGCCTCTCGCACTCTCGAGTTGCACCGTGGGTCCGTTTCTTTTTTGCTTTTGCATCGGAAAATTCATCCTGTCCCGCTTTGGACACGCGGCTCTTACTCGCGGAAAATTTCTGGAAACATGATTGAAAACGGCACCCTCTCATGGTGGTGTTCCCAAGAGTCCAGAGCTCGCCGAGCAACACGAGGTTGCAGAAAACACAAAAAAAAGAGAGAGCCAGATGGTCAGTATCGTTTCGTTCTGTCGTTTCAACGAAATAGAGGTGGCAAGTTTATCGTAGGCAGTTATAAATTATAGATAATATTAAGCATTGTCGAGTTGCGATCTCTGTGATGAAGACCGGACGTGCGTCGCGATGACGCAGTCACGACGACAAAGATACACGTGGGGCGGCGGTAGCGATACCCGAAAAAAAGAAAGAGAGAGGAGAGAGAATAATGACACAAGCGATCGATATTAAAATTTGTCTCTTCGTGTCTCTTTGATAAGTCCGTCGCGGACATAATGCAATTTGCTGTCAAGTTTTAGGGTACATAAGGAATAGAGTTATATATATATATACATACATATATATATACATACATACATATATATATACATACATATATATATATATATATATATATATATATATATATATGTATATATACATACATATATATATATATATATGTATATATATATAAAAACATATAAAATGTATAATCTATTATACATAACACAAGGAAACACTCCGTATTAGTACACAAAAACGCATACATACATGGAAACACACGAACGTACGTTTAAGATGCGACTCGTACGCGTTTACCATACGCGATTAATGTGTATTGTTGTAACACACATGTATTAAGGGTGCCCGTATCGAAGGTGGGAGTGTGGGAGGGGCGATCGATTGATAATAAGGATAACAATAACAAATGTACATAAGAAGAAGTGAAATTCGATCGTGCGAGCCGTGGTAACCGCACGAAATAGAATATTTTGTTATGTAAAAAAAACAATGGAAGATGGAAGATGGTGAGATGAAGAAATAGGAGTTCGATTTTCGGAGAGGAGGAGGAGGGGGGCGATGGTGCACCATTTTCAAATGCATCGGATGCCTTGCCGACATGTTTGCGAAACGAGGATGCTATATTTGGACCTCGACGAACGAGAAGAGACAAGGTCGTGGAAGAGAAAAAGATAGGGAAGGTGGCATATGGATAGGAAGAATGGCGGAGGAGATTACGCCGTCGTTACGCGCAAAGAACGAGATTCATCTTATATATATTCATATATCATTTCGTAGCTCATCCTCCATCTTGGTCATGTCCGCCATTAAATATAAAACCCGTAACGAGCATCGAGAGAATATATATGTATGTATACATATATATATACATTCCGGTTGAACTGTCGATCTCATTGATCGCGACACGATCATATTTTTACCGAGGAGAAGAGAGGACGAAGAAGAAGATGATAAGGAGGAGAAGCAGGAGAGAGAGAGAAAGTGAGAAAGAAAGAGTGTCGACGGGACGCAACTTCTGTCGGATACTTTTTCTACGGCGAGCTAAAAAAGAAAACGAAAAAAAAAGAAACAGGAGCAAAAATGGAGGACCAAGAAGACTGAAAGGGGGAACGAGACGAAGAGGATAACGGGAAGGCTTAACGATGGCGCGATCGACTAGAGGGATCTGTTGTGGATCATCGATTGGCCACCTTTCGACGCGCATCCCGTTGTTTTCTCGACGAAACAAGCGTCTCGTGTTTGCGCGTCCGACGTGTGACGGTTTGCTCGATGAAGAGTATATTAGAAGCGGAAGAAGAGAAAGGAAGAGAGAAGACGACGAGCGAAGGAGAGAGGTGTTTAATAAGAAGTAAAAATGAAGATACTCGGTACGTTCGAGGGGGATACACATAATCGTCCACTATACGAGGCTCGATAGAGGAATACAGTTATTTTTTGCCGTTTTATCTCTTATCGTAAGAGGAAACCGAAGTTTCTGTCCGCGGAAAACCAGTTACGGCGTACCGATTTAAACGAGAACGGCGACGATCGATAGATCCTACGGGCACGATAGGAGAATGGAGAGCCAGTTTAAAGCGTAGTCGGTGTACCTAAACCGTGATCGTTTATATCGTAATTTTGGTACTGTTCGATATGTACACGCGTGTGTTAGGAGAGGACAGAGTTTAGAATTGCAGCACTGACGAACGAAGGAGTCGGATACAGAAGAAAAAACATGTCTTTCAAGGGAGGATCGTCGATTCGATGGGTGGGACGGGGTGAATGAAGAAGGACTCGAGGGGACAGCAAGCTGTCCAAAGAAGCTCGATCGTTCGATGGTCGGGTTCGAGATGGAGTCCGGGAGCGCAAGATCGAAGCGAGTGTGAGAAGATTTCTAAAAAAAACAAAAAACGATGAGAAAAAAATGTCTTTTTGAGAACAAAAAGCGCCAAAAAAATCTGTATAAAATCAGTTGAGAGAATGCTTGGGTATATTTGTGCGATGAAGGATGATTGAGCATGTGGGACGGTTGGAGGAGGAAGAAGAGAGCGAAGAGGAGAAGAAAGACGTAGAAGAATCAGTGTGCAATAGTTGCGTGAAGGGCTGAAACTTTCAGTCGCGGAAGAGGAAAGAGCAATGGATCTCTGGATACTCTTTGATCTGGAGACGAAAGCATGTTAAACATAGTGCGAGGATCTTTTTTAAGCAGGCTCGGACCAGAGTTTCCGAGCACGTATATATTTCTCAGAATCGACGTATTCGAAGGGAGAAAGCATTTTGAGGTACAGGCGTCATCACAAGTTCATACACATGCACACATGAGAACACACGCACGGATACAGAGGACACGTCTGCCAGCATACACGTATGTAGATAACGCAAAACAGATGAGAAGAGGCGAAAGAATGATCGTATCGAGATTGTCTTTGAGAAGGAGTGAAAGAAAACACACGCGTTCACGTGAGTCACGCGAGCAAAATTCAAAAATGAACACTAGACGCACATATCTGCCGCCACCTGTACATCACGTTCCATAGAAGAAGTGCGGGAACCTTCGGAATATCAAACGAAGCAAGGAGAAAGTTCTCTGTCCTTGTAACGGAACGACTGGGAAGTGTACAGCGTGGAGGCACCGTTACACCATAGGTAACACGACACCGAACATTATGAAGTTTTCTTTGATGGTTCACTTTCTTGAACAACGTGAAAGAAGAAGGAACGAAGAGAAAATTTTTAACGTTCCCCGACATTGTAGATGAACCTTCTACTTTACCTAGTTTCACTACTACTCCCATCCACATTTATCTTTCCTTACCCACTGTGTTCGTTTAATGAAAATGGCGAGAAAGCTGCGAAATCGTTACGAAGTTGCTTCGGCTCTTCGTACCCTCAACTCTACTCTACAAGAATCACCTTTAGTTCCTGTTATATCTCGATACTCAACTAAGCATTTTTTCCTGTACACATTTTCCTCTTACTATCCCCTTTTTTCTTTAGGGCCCCCACCAGGGCCCGCAAATGATTCAGCCACGCAGATGCAACGTCTTGAATTCAATGCGATATTCAGGAAAACTGCCCTTTTCAGGGCAACCATCAATGTGTCCTTTTCGACGCAACGATAGATCCGACCTTTTCAGGGCAATATAATCGAATTGCACCTTATGTCTGGAACCTTTCGAAGCTGCCTGTTCGAGAACTTTGAGATATCTGGAGCTATCGTGGGACCTGCCCTAGACTAAAGTAGCAAACTTAGTTGCTAATTGCTTCGTCTGGGACTAGGAAGGAAAAGTGGAGCATCGAAGGAGATAGTCCTTTCCAGGACCAGTATTCTAGTCAACCAAATATGCTGTGATGTTTTGTTTGAAAGCAACGTTACTTAGGTATGTATACTTATCGATTTTTAATTGCTTTCAGTAATTATTAGTATTTTATAATTCATGTGCTTATATATAGAAGAAAATTTGGAAATAGTATTTATGGAAACGCAGTGTCTTAGACATCTATGTGTAATGGAAACAATCTTCTGTATTCGTTAGATTATTCAGCAAAAGTTTTGATTTGCATCACTTTAATCTCACGGAGCTAGTTACTTTGAAAATCAATAGTTTACTTTGTCGATCAAATAACAGGTAACCGGTATATGTCAAGGTTATATCAAGGTCATGTGTGAGTACATTAAGTATTAGTCAGCGTGACCGTAGCATTATTTGCATAAAAACCTGAGAAAGTCACTGAGAAAAGATCCGCCACAAAATATACCGGAAGTTTTAAGTGTGCCACGTCACGACACATTAACGTTCGACTGAAACTGCGGCACTATAGGATTGTATTTTCTGTCCTACTATGATCATACAAGATTAAATTAAATTGTTAAATGTACTCGATAATAATTATCGGCGAGTACGAAACTACAGAAAATTGTTTCCAGGTATGTCGAATTATTTGTGTTACTTTTTCTAGTCATCGTGAGACCTTGGCCGATGTCTTGTCAAGATCGTCGTATAGTACAGTCATCACTCTTGGATGAATTTAAAATGGCGGTGAAAAATGTGCCTGTTCATCAGGATGTTCCATATTTCATTTTGTTTACTTAAACGCCGAAAGAAATTTATTAATTATTTCGATTCAATTCCTGAATAAATTTCACTCTAAATGGTAGAGATTTATCGAATATTGTTGGTAACGATAATCGGGCATGATTATATTTTGATGCAATTTATTAAATTCGGTATATTAGAAATTAAGTTGTATTGTTTGACTACGCATTAAACTACACAATTACTCAGTCCATATGTACGCATAGTGACTTGAAGTATATCGTACGTATTATACATACTTTATCGAAAGTAATGGATCTAGAACGTCCTTTTCTTTAATCTTATGACATACGTAAAGGTGATATGAAAGTATGAGTCATCGAGACAATTAAATGTCACAACGCAAAACAGATAAAATGTGTGTGACGAATGTAATTGTTCTCAGGTGAAATCCATCAGTCATTTATTAGAGTAATGGTTATATTTAGAACAAAATCTAATGAATATATTTTTATACCGAGAAGGAATAATAATAATAATAATAATATTTATTTGAACAACTGGAGCAAATCCTTATGTTGCAATAGTATGACAATAAATCGCACAAGTAGCAAATTAAAAGAAATAAGGAAAAGAGAATGATACAATAAAAGAAAAGATACAATAGATAGATATGATATCAAAAATGCAAAAGAAGGAGAAAATCGAATTGCGATGATAACAGATTTTAAAAGAGGCATACGAGCAACAAAAAAAGTCTAGTACGATAGTGTCTCTCTTCTCGGCGTAACTTGAGTATGCCAATTCTGACGCCGAGATATTGCAACGGCCTTGTAATTTATTGATTTTCTTGCGGCCCTTTAATTTATCACCGGCTACCGGCTAATTTAACTACCTTCTTCCAGGTAGTTTCTGACCCGAGTTTCGTTCTCTCTCTCTCTCTCTCTCTCTCTCTCTCTCTCTCTCTCTCTCTCTCACGAGGTATCGGCAACAATAAAGGCGAGCTGCGAGGCTCGAAGAAATCAATTCCTGAGTACTACTCTTGACACCATAGAATTCGGTCCCAACGATAAGTAGAGAAATTTTACTGTATATGGCAATTCTGGTTGGAAATTAAGAGAAGTCGATTGAGGTAGTTATGGTAGCCATAAAGCGTACGGTGAGTTTTAGGGAGAAAGAAAAGGATGTCTAGCTTGTTGGTAATTATGCTCTTAAATATTTTTTGCATTGTATTCTAGAGGCAGATGGGTCGGTATAAGGTGGCGAGTGTATTATCATCACCTTTGAAGATGGGAGAAACAGTACAAGTTTTCTATTGAGAGGGAAAGGAGAGTTTTTGAAGAGGATAAAAAGAGGAGGAATCCCATCAATGGATTTTGCTAGCACACAACTGTTTGATCTCAGAGAAAACGTCACTAATCGAAATTTCTATGTTGTTGGAAGATGTAGACGAGCCAATGTTTGTTTCCCCGTCGGGAAATATGGTGGTTGAGATGTGCGTAGGTGATCCAGATATCTAATTTCCCGGAATTGTTGTATAACCAGTCTCAAAAGGGTTCGAGAAAGACCGACTGTTTTCCTTAATGAAAGACTCTTTGTATTCGCATATGATTAGACGGAAGAAAACATACGAAAAGTTTCCGTATATAACGGTATTATTAAAGTGAAAAGAGGGAGGAGTGTCAGAAGAGGAGGAATAAATTAAGCCGACGAAATCTGTGAAAGTATTCGCAATAATCTGGTCGGTGAAAGATATATTATTATTAAAGGATATATAGGATAGATGAGAAGCTTTTGGAAGTGGCGTAAAACTTTCCAAAAAATCTTAGGTCCAGTTCTGAGAGCAAGTTCAGTTCTGGATGAGTAAGTCAGCCAGCATTTCCATGAGATGGGTTTGCATTGAGCCCTAAGATGTGAGAAAGTTATGTAATTGTAGTAGGAGTTTGTAATTTTGTAACGATAATCTTTTTTTGTTTAATAAAGAAAGTTAACTTACGATAATACGAGACAGGGTAATTTGACGTAGAGAAGGCTCGTAGGGGTACAAAGCGGTTAGTCATGACATTTAAGTGAGAGTAGAATACTGTTTATTTAAAGGAGGGAGTAGGCTGTCCCAATCTATGGATATTCCTTTATAGAAAGAAAATCAGTTGCTGAGAAATTACGGTAATGGGTTGCATTGGGAGGAGGGGTGATGAGCTCTCTTTATCTAGAACTGTGAGGGCAGGACCACTTAACTGTGAAGCATCAACTACAATAATGAAATCTACTCCTGCGCACTTTTCTTACTCCCTAAGCTGGAGCGCACATCCCCTCCAATCCGTAGTGGATCCTATCTCAACTGTGAATCATCGGTCAATCAGAACAAAGGAAATTATGGAACCAAAAATAGACACCATGAATATTTTTGTATAAAAGTGTCATATATTTAACAAATATATATTTGTGTGACACTTATAAAAAAGCAGGGTACGTGTTTTTCTAGTATAATTTCTGAATTAAAGAAAATTTTACTGCAGTGTTTGTTACATTTTCGTTAAAGCAGTTGTCGTGGAATTTTCCAGATTTCTACGTTTCCTTGCGTATCGCCAATGGCCACCAAATCTCTGGAAAAGATAAAAGATAATATTTACAAATCATGAATCACATGTTTACAATCAACATACTTTTTAGAGTTCACACGCAAGCAACTTGTATTATCCCTGTCGGATGTTTCAAACTTTATAGCAGTTACAGGTGTACCATCAGCAATATTATATAATCTCACATTCGAACCCGCGCCATAAGTTGCTAATACATCTGGATTTCCCAACATCCAAGTTAATCCCACGATTGTATTTTGAAAGGAAATCGATCGCAGGCACGTGTGCTACATAATGCAAAATAATTTATAACAAATAAAGTAATACATAAATACACTTGTACAGTTTAATATTTTACCTCTTCAAAGTCATATATACGCATTTCTTTATCTGTACCAGAAGTAACGAATAAGTTACGAATAGGAGAGAATTTGATACAAGTAATGCTTCCATCGTGCCTCTCGTATTCGTCTATCACTGGATCCATAAGAGTTCCATCGCCTATGATTTAAGCAAAAATTATTCTATTGATACAATAACATTAATTAGTATACAAACCTTCTATAGGAGCAATTCGCTCCACACTGCATTTATATATTCCACCACATAGAGTACCAACTATAAAAAATATAGGATCTACGGATGAAAAGTCAAACGTGGTAATACATAATCCAGACTCCACTGCACGTTCTCGAGATCCACCGGCACTACGTGGTCTTCTATTCTCTATTGGATTATGTTCTTTAGCTATTTTTAATCTGGAAAACTTGGAATCACAAAATATTCTCCACATGGTTAAAAACTTTTTCAATGCAATGATTACCTTGTATATACATGAGCAATGGTAAAGTTAGCTACCATTTTATGGAAATAAATATAACCGTCTTTACTAGAAGTAACAAGCAAGGATGCATCATTTATTGTTTTTGGTTTCCAGTATATTTGAGATACAGTATCACCATGAGTGCAAACTGATACTGATGTGAGTGATACATCATCCCTCAAGTTCCAAACAAGAACATCACCTACATTAGATGATGATTATAAGACCTTCACTCAATAAAGTTCTACATATTTGTATTTGGAACTGTTTAGATTACCATTAAATAAACCAACTGCTAAAATAGATGGTTCAGTTGGATGATAAGCTAGTGTTGTCACACATGCATTTGTCTCCAATGTTTTATGTGGACTGTTTATGAAAGTACCGTCCTTTGTCTGCTTGTATAGTTGTATTTTAGAGAGGTGATCACACCATGTTTCATGGTAAGGAATCCCATAAGAAACAACTAATGTTCCTCCTCCAATACTCCAACACATGTCTGTTACTTTCATCTAAAAATATATCTGAATAATTCATTTATTAAATAGATATTAGAGGCTAAAAGAATTGTAATTACATGTGATTCCAGTTCACTTGTATTAATTTTCTCCACGAGCTGTGTGCTCGTGACAGAATCTTCACTAGTCTTCGTATCGTAATCCTCAAAAGCATCAGTTCCATATGACTCATCTAAAGCTTCCAATATACTTGGAGTAACTCTCTTTAAAAACAGTGCCAATTTATCATAGTCCACATTTGGTTTTCTCTTCTCTACAGTAATAGTCTGAGTCTAGAAAAAAGTTACTTATTCAGTATTTATACATATTTATAAATATACAATGTGCTTTAATGATTATTATTTTTATTGTTACATCAAATCCCAATATATTTATAAGTACCTCAATGCTTCTTGTTTCAACTGTTTGAACCGGGTTTTCATTATAAACAATCTCTGCTGTTTGTACATTCGTTGATGATTCCGACCTAAAAAATTTTTATAATTAAAGACAAAATAAACGACAATTTCAATAGTAAAAATATATGACGTACTTTGCAGTTGATATTTGTGAATCAAAGCCTGCGGCATCGAGCGAACGATCGGTGAACATTGTTAGACAAAAATTTGGTTTTTATATAACTGATGTATTATTCTATTCTTAATGCAGTGGATTACTGAGAATCTATTGGAAGATCATTCTCTGAAAGCCTATTACAGTGTCTGGCAAGAAATAAGAATAAATTGTAAGGAATTTTTGTAACGTCACTTTTTATTTGACAATCTTATGCAGAACACATTTTACGTGAGTATATAAATATGGAATCAGCTGATAGTTATTGCAGCGCCATCTAAGTGCAACTTGAATTCAGTGAAATTATTCTTCGCGTTTGATTCATTATTTTACACTTATTCAGAACACTGCAATAAACAATCTACTATCTACTATTGGAATAAATTTTGCTCGAGGGGTATCAATAAGTACAATTACTTAATTTATTATTATTAGTATCATCACAATTCATGATTGTTATTTCTTTGATAGATTACAGTAAATATGTAATTCGAAACTATTAAAATCAATATGTTTCAATGAGAAAACTCATCATTTTGCACAACAAATAAATTTGTTATATTAAGTCATAAGTAATGTCCATGTTCCTTTTTCATCTTGAAATACTATTAGAAATTATTGATATGTATCCTAGTCCAAAATATAATCACCATTGTTATCAATAACTTGTTGCCATCTGTGTGGTAATTGTTTAATGCCATGAGTATAAAAGTCAGGGTACTTTGAATCAAAGAAGTTAGAGACACATTTATTTATTTGATCAGTGTTTTTGAAAGATTCTCCATCAAATGCCTTCTGTAATAATCGAAAAAGATAATAATCTGTTGGCACTAAATCCGATGAGCACGATGGATATGGCAAAATAGACCAGCCTAATTCTAAAATCTTTTGTTGAGTCACTTTCTCTGAATGTAGTTTATCATTATCATGTAACAAGATAACATTTTTCTGTTCAATTAATGAAGGATGTTTTTCTTGAAGCTTTTTTTGTACACGTTCAAGTTGATTAACATAAATTTCAGGTGTCACTGTATTATTCCTGTTTAGAAGTTCAAAATGAATAATTCCCGAACAACCCCACCATATACACAACAGAATTTTTCTTCCATGATACTTAGTCTTTGGTTCTACATTTGTCACTTTTTCATTTCCATCACTCAGTTGCCTTTTGCGAACAATAGCTTCATATCTGATCCATTTCTCTGAACCAGTTACGATTTTATCTAAAAACGGCTCAATTTTGTAGCGAGAGATCAAGCTTGTTGCAATAGACATTCTTTGTGCTTTGTTTTGATCACTTAGTTGTCTGTGAACCCACACACCCAATTTGCTTACTTTCCCTAACGCATGAAGTTGACGTATAATAGTGGATTGCGATACTTTCAATTTTTCCGCCAATTCTTTGGTAGTTTGGCGGGGATTTTGTTCTAACAATTCATTTAAGACATCTTTATCAAAATCAGAAGGTCGGCCCAATCGAGGTTCCTCTTTCAGTGACGTATCTCCTGACCGAAACTTTTTAAACCATCTTCGTACTGTTCGGTCTGTTACTGTGTCAACGCCGTACACATTGCAAATTTTAATTGCTGTCTGTACAGAACTATTGCCTAACTTAAACTCCCATAACATAATATGTCGAATATGCTCCCTTATGTTTTCCATATCGAATAATACTAATAAAACACTCTTCAGGTACGATTTTCACGCTACGATACAATTAAGACTACTTAACAAAACAACTGAGAGTTGAAAACAAACAGAAACTACACACTACCCACTATGGACATTACTTATGACCCAAACATGTCATTCAGCTCCATGCGGATGTGGGTAACATGGCGACGAGCTCTCAACGTGTATCACCCTGTATGAAGAAGCGACGCGTAACGAGAAAATGTTACAATACTAATCTGTAACTGTTTCCTACTACGTGCAGACTGTAGCTTTGTACATCGTGGTATACGTATAAACAGAACATTTAAATACAAGAATACATACATGATTATTGAAAAATGTCAAACATATCGATTCATAAAATAAAGAGAGTATCACAAGTATTTCAACCACTGAATGCAATTCTGCTTCCTTCGCAGCAATCAAAAGTTACTTTGGAACGTTACGACGTATGCAGACATTTGTTTATGATATATAATCTTGTATTCTTGTTTTTTTAAATCAGCACTTTTTATTGTTTTTTATAGAGATTAATTAGACATGGATTTATTAAGCATGTTAGCAATGGCATGTATGCATACCTGCCCTTGGGATTGCGTGTATTAGATAAATTAACAAATCTTGTTGATAATGAAATGGAAAATATAGGAGCTCAGAAGTTACTGCTACCGGCATTGACGGCTACAAAATTATGGAAACAAACGAAAAGATTCGACAGTAATAAAACAGAATTATTTGAAGTTCATGATAGACACGATAAGCACTATATACTTAATCCAGTGAGTAATAAATGATAATTTAAATTAAGAAATATTTTTTCGATTATGGATAGAGTAAGGCAAAAACATAAATTTAATGTGTATATATTTATTTTGTCATAGACATGTGAAGAATCAATCTGTGATTTAATTTCATCTGTAGGACATTTGTCTCCAAAAGTTTTACCTTTAAGATTGTATCAAATATCTAATAAATGGAGAGATGAAATGAAACCACGACATGGACTTTTTAGAAGTAAAGAATTTGTTATGAAAGATTTGTATACATTTGATACAACATTAGATAATGCTGATAAAACATATGAAACAATATGTGAAGCCTATAATAATATATTTAAATTAATAGGAATTACATTTATTAAAGGTAGTTATATGAACAATTATTACTGGTACTGCAATATCTCATAATTTGTTAATATTTACTATGGATTGCAGCTACTGGTGATACAGGAACTATTGGAGGTTTGAAATCTCACGAATATCATTATAAATGTAAAATTGGTGATGATATTCTTTGTTTGTGTCCAGCTTGTCAGCAAGCTATCAACAAAACTATATGTAAAGAATCACGTTGTGATCAGTGTAATAATTCATTTCTGGAAGAAACTACTATTGAGGTAACTGAATACATATATAAAGACGTACACAGGCTATCTCTTACCAGTTAAACATTTGTTTTTGTTTAAGGTAGGACATGCATTTTTATTAGACACACTGTACACAGAGCCTCTAAAAGCAAAGTATCATGCAGAACAGAAGTTTGTACCCTTAGTAATGGGATGCTATGGACTTGGCCTGAGTCGTATACTTACTATTATGGCTGAAACATTATCTACAAATAATGAACTTAGGTGGCCAAAAAATTTAGCACCTTATACTGTGTGTGTAATACCACCAAAGGTACAGCATCTTATAAATTATACTTGTTAAGATTACCAAATACCTTGATAAAAATTTTTTAGGATGGTAGCAAAGAAGAAAGTGCAACTCAATATGTTGACAAAATATTCGAGATTTTACACCAGTTAAATATTGATGCTATACTTGATGATAGAACAAATTTAACTATTGGTTCTCGTTTTAAACTTTCAAACTGTACTGGATATCCATATATTATAGTAATTGGTAAAACTGCTATGAATTCACCACCCACATTTGAGATTCATAACATAAATGATTCAACTTGTTCCGATTTAAGTTTAGAAAGTATATACAGTTACTTTGATGCAAAGAATATTAAATGTTAATATATTTAAAATTTCTCGTATAAATAAACGAAAAGTACATTAATAGATTAGTACATTATTTAATAACATAAATGAACATTTAGATAATGTTAACAAAAATTAAAGACTTGTATATACATTTTAAGTACAAATAAGATTTGATGTAACAATTTAATGTTCCAATTTAACTTTGATTTTGTGATACGCATTACAAAGGAAGCCTCGCAGGTTCCAAATATGTTTAAAGCTTTCTGGTTGTACGTTATAGGATGCATCCACAGCTTTTGCCCATATCTCTGACTCTTTCCAGGAAGACTGTACAGGAAGATCTATACTCCATAATGTCCAACTCCAATAACGACCCTCCTTGGCATTGATATCTTCAGCATGTAAATTAGCTGTATGCCAAGTTTCACCTTGATCATTTGTAACATCAACTCTAATAATTTTTCTACCACCTCCTGACCATGCATATCCTGGCAATTTTATTTAATTACAACATTAAAGAAGGTTTAACATCACATAATAGGTTGCAAGAAATAGAATACCTTTAACGTTTATTTTTCCACCGTTTACTTTTACTGTTTCCATTGGTTCTGGTGTGCATATCGCAGAAATTACAGGCATCTCTTGTATAGCAGGTGCTTTAGAAAAATCTACATTACCCCAATCAGTACTAGGGGAGAAACCCTTGTAATCACCCCGTTGCCATTGTGAATGACTTTCTTCTTTTGAGATAATTATTTTATCTGAAAATTTACAATTAAAATAATTAAGTCATATACAATTATTATTGTAAATATATATATACTGATCTATATGTATATATAATATATATATATTAATCTATTATATGTGTTTACTACTTGTCTTTTTATTACCAAGCCACTTTACATTTCTTGCACCCACAACACCAGGAACAATTACTCGAATAGGAAAACCATGATCTCTTGATATTGGTTGTCCATTCATTTCATAAGCTAAGATTACATCTGCTCTTGGATCCATAGCTTTACTAATGGGTATACTTGCACCATATGGTGCACCTGAAGGATCTACATCAGATCCTTCAAACTAGTTTAAATTATTTAGAAAGTATTTATAATTGAGATAGTTTTAATCTATTAATTATGATACATATAATAATACCTGAACATGATTGTAATCATCCTCATTAATTTTCATATCTTTTAGGACATCACACAACTTTGCACCAGTCCATGTAGCATTACCTACGGCTCCCACACTCCAACTAAGCCCTTTTAATGGTTTTGACTACATAACATAAGACTAGTATAACACATTTTATCTACCATTCTGTATAAGTTGAAGTAGTAGTAACACCATCAAAAGTGTTCTTTAAAGTTACCTCTGCCATTTCAGATCGTCTATTACCACCACACATTACAGCACTAATTATCGTATGTTTTGGATATTTTTTTATGTCTTCAAAGCTGAGGCATTTTTGTGTTTCTTCTTCCACAGCTAATTCCAATGTATACGTTTTTAGATCTATTTCAGGAACAGGAAGATGATTTCTTACATAAAACAATTCTCTAAAAAGGTATAATTTTCTGAAAAATTTGATAAAACAAAACTGATTGAAAAATATTTTTTACTCAAATATGTATTTACGTTGGTGTTATAAAACTTTCAGCTAATAAAGAAGAGGGTGGTTCAGCACAAAAAGGTTTACTTCCATTAATTTTTAGAGCTTTATGTCTCTTTGGCTCATTTGCATATGGGTCATTAGAACAAGATTTATTATCAAGTTGATCTGTCTCTGAAATATTTCCAATCCTCATTGATTCAAGCAGTTCATATATTTCTGGTGTATTATGATTAGCAAAAAATATCCAGAAAGGTTCGATGGAACTGCCAGCTGCCATCATTATTTTGGAAGGACCACCTGGATGATTGTCTACAAAATTTGTTATATCATACACTCCTTTTTTAAATATTACCCATATTTGATTGTGTTTATTATCATGTTTTCCCACTTCTTCTAAAGTATATGTATTTAAATCTGGCCTAAATTCTCCACATTGCACATCATTCTTATTCAATGCATGTATTTCTTTATGGAACATATAATAATAACCAAAAGTTAATATAGATGCACCGAGAGTAATATATACAGTATCTAATAAATAGGAATTGTATTTAGGTGCATTTCTTTGTTTAAATGTTTCTTCGTTTTTCGATGAATATTGTCGATATGGCTCAATATAGTACTGTATACAAGTTTTTAATGACTTTTTCAAGAACCTGAAATTATATTTTGTTACATGTATAAACATTATAAAAAAGATATCAATTATGACAAATGTACATACTTATTCCTACAGTAGTATAAAAGCCTCATATTTGAAATCATGGCTGCTAAATTGATACAATAATTGTTATCTTCTCAAATTTTATACGTACATACCTACGAAAATGAAAATAAATGTACAAGTGCCGGTAATGAAAATAGATCCATATGAAATATACATATAAGACTTAGTTGACTTACTCTTTCGTGCAATGTACTAACATCAAGTTTATTAAATTCGTATGTTAACGATTTCTGTAAGTAAACTATAAATTTTTTTTCGATTTCAGTTCTACAGTACTTTTTTTGGAATGACATGTTGATATGTAATCGATTTGTATTATGTACAGAGTACCTCAGGTTTGCACGATTTTTCTATTTCCCTTAGCTTGTGCAAGCATCCCCACCATTTTACTATGCATCCAATCCGTAGTGAATTTTATCTTATCATTGAGTCGTCAGCCAATCAGAGCAAAGCAATTTTTACACTTATTCCCGGTAACGGAGCGCGCTGCGACCGGAGTGTCTTGCAAAACTTAAGGTATTATTGTATCTGTATTTCGATGATGATGGCTCCTACGGCTCTCTGTCATTCTCGAGCGACGGTGTTTTCGTAATTCCTCACCTTATTGTTTTTTCTTACCCTAACCCAGAGAATTTTCAATGGAATATTTAATAAATTAAGTACAAATAATAATATAAGTACTTTAAAGTACAATTATAAGACCGTCCTTCGAATGAACATAGAAATTCTTTATATGTTAAGAAATTAGTTGTTTTTCCAGTAAGTAAATACTTGGTGTTTTCATCTGATACTAATTCTATTTATTATAATTATTCATAATGAGATAAATCATTTTCACACAGTCATTGGAAATTATGTGAATCATGATTATTTTTTCAAAAATAGGTAAAATTTCTGTATAGAGGTTATAATGCGCAGTCAAAATTCGGATTTTGTAATCAATATTGTAATATAATTTTAAATGTATTATTTAAGTACTATGTGATTTTTTACGAATTAAATTAAGAACTTTTTAGACACGTTATAAATAAACAAAAACTTATATATTGTTAAATATTACAAATTTTTATTATATAAATATTTTCATAGGTGAAATGAAATAAATTGAACAAGTTACGGCTATGGCTATGAGAAAACGGAGTGGTTCTGGCTCCAAACGCCAACATAAGGGGAAGCTTGTACCTATATATGAAAGCTTTTTTAAAGGAGAAGACTTAACGTTAGCTCATCCAAATTTTTGGAATGAACTGTTCCTCATAAAACCTATGGTTAGTAGTTTTCAAAATCATTTTTATTTCACATCAAATTTTATTCTGTATTACATAAAACATAATATTAAGAAACAAAAAATTTTATAAGTTTTACAAATTTGTAATAAAAGATTAATATAGTACAAAGGAAATCTGGAAATTCTTTAGGTCTTCCACTTTAGGTGTTGCTCATTGCCGAGCTTGTTTCATCTGTCATCAAACAAATTCTTAAATTCTCAAATAATACTGAAATAATAATGAGAGTATGAATATTAAATTACCTTCCTCTGTTTTTTTTTTAGATAATCTTCTTGGAACTTTTCTTGATTAACATAAGAATTTAAACATTCATTGTCCTCTTTTTTTGTGTCGGGTTGCTGTTTTTGGCAAGTCTCAGTATTTAAGTTTGCATCTTTTGCTTTCTGTTTAACTTTTCCATCTTTCTCTATCAGAAATATTTAAATAAGATACAGCATCCAATTTTGTAACAATTTCAAAAATCATTTTAGAATAGACATACTCTTTGGCTGAATAACTTCTTCACATTCGAGTTCATTACGAAGACTACCTGGCATAAATTTGCATTTAAAATTAAACCATGCTTCACTTGTCTGGACTTTGTATTTCAAACATTTAAATTGATATATACATACTCTTCCATAATACTTTGTCACTTCCCATGATGGCAATGACTGTAAAATTACGTATCAAGTGCAGAGACATTTTTCTAAAATATGGCAATTTTACAGACTTACCTGTATTACTTTAGTAACAAATTTACCAAGCATGTTAGTATATAATTTGTATCCTATTAGCACACAGACCTTTAAAGATTAATGTTATAAATAAGAAGTAGCATTTTTTAATCTGAAAAAAAATTTTAATTGACCAAATAAAATGAGAAACTTCAGTGGATGAAAAATTTCTTGTTGACAAGAAAAGAAAAAACTGTCAAAGGAAAAACAAATGAATTGTTGCAATATACTTAGTGATTATAAAACATAAACTATCTATGTGTACATACAGAATCATAATGATTATTTTAATATCTTTAGGTTCCACACATTGAAAGTGAAATTTTACATATGACTGCAGAACAATTAAATGCAAGTAAAGAAAACTTAAATGCCTTGGTGTGCCATTGTGTGGATACACTAGTCGATGAACACCCTTTCAGAGTTGTATATGCTCTGCAAACTTTAGCAGCTGTTATACAATCTATGTATAAGAAAGCTAGTCAAGGAGATTGTGGCTTCAACTTAATCGATATCCTAGTGGGATTTGATTCTGCTGAACAACGAATGACAACATTAATGCAGCATTGCAATAATTTTTTAACAGGTATACATTAAGACACATATTCCATTATTCACTCATGTTCATTAAGAAATCAAAGATTCAAATATGCATCTTGTACTATCTTCAAAAACAAATTTCTTACTAAAATTTTACATAATTCCAGGTGAATACCCTGATAGCTTAAAAGCTTTATGCTTAAAATTGTTGTTAATTATTGTAACTGGCATGGACAATGTTAGTCAAAACACTTTGTTGGAGTATGTTATGCTTAATAGTGTTTTTGAATCTCTGGTTCAAGTAGGTGCTAATTTGGAATAAGTATTCAAAGAAAACCGTTTAAGAACATCGATTAAAATTGTCCATTAACATTTGGACATTTTTCGTGCAGTTGCTGAGAGATACAACAGCCAGAAGTCGTCATGGCCATGATGCAGTGTTGCTCTTGACACTTCTAGTCAATTATAGGAAGCATGAAAGAGCAAATCCCTATATTGTTAAATTGTCAATTTTAGACGATGAGCTAGCTCTAAACGGATATGGTCAAGTAATATCGAGTTCCTTAATGGACTTTTGTAGGCAATTTGCTCAACAAAGGGCAGGTACAGAATATTTAGAATTAGCTCGTTAAGCGTCTAATACATGCAATAATAAGACATACATATATAGAAATACAGGCATCTTGGCTGTCTTCCTTCACTAATATAGTAGGAAGCATATTTGTTGGAGAAGAAGAAGCAAAAACGCAACAAGTTCGAGCAAATAACGCATTGTTATTAGCACTCTATGAGTCCACACACTTAAATCGTAATTTTGTAACAACTTTGGCTTATACACAAAGCGATACAAGTGCTCCACCCTCTCCAAACAATACATTAGGGCCAAATGCGGTGGCTCCTGGAGCACAGTTGTCAGATGTGATGGCTCAACCATTTAATTTGTTAGCGACATTCTTACAATATTGGTAACATAGTTATATTCTCAAAATATTTAATTTCTCGTAAACTGTATTGCATTTCTTATTGTAAAATATTTTCGTTATTCCAGTTCGATAGTTATGCAAGTAATCAGAACAGAAGCAATAATGAGTAATGTCAAATTGTGCTTCCTTATATTAAGCTGTATTGCGGAAGATCAGTATGCAAATAGTTTGATGCATGATGCAAACTTGGCTTTCAGAGTTCAACTTCATAGAGTACCAATGCATCACAGAAAGATCCAAGATAAAACAGCACCTGTACAACCATTAGCTGCTACATTACTCGGTACGGTTACTATTACCTTAAAAATCTTTATACGGAAGTTTTGTCTCCTTCATCATATTCTTTGACAAAGATCACAAATAAGAACTATATCGAATTTGATAAAAATCTTTTATTTTAGTATTTTACTACAAGTGCATATAATCGTCATAACATTGTAGATCTACTTGTTGAATTCATTACGTCGCATATGATGAAAAAATTCCCGCTCGAACTTTATCATCAGTGCATTGGGGTTTTACAAAGGCTACTCTGTTACCAAAAAAGATGTAGAGTCCGACTTGGATATCAATGGAGAGATCTTTGGACAGCATTGATTAATCTGCTCAAATTCTTAACCACCCATGAAAGCCACCTCATTAAGAAAATGAACATCTTCCCATTAGCCATTCAGGTAAATTAATATTGTGTAATGCAAATACAGATGTGTATGTCAACCAATTTAAACTAATATTTCAGGTTGTGAATATTTTAAATTTGTTTATTACTTATGGAGATACATTCCTATCTTCACCGAGCAGTTATGATGAATTGTTTTACGAGATAATACGAATGAGACTTATTTTCACAAATTTAAATGCAATGGGTAGGTAGTATACGAATAAGTGAGCAGTTAGCATATTCAAAAATTTGTTTGATACCAATAAATAACGATAATACAATTCTTATACGAAGCACTCCGATATTCAACGAGCGAGGCTTACGAGTACAAAGAGCATGCCATGAAATTAACAAATTCCTTGGTAAACATGCGAGACATAGTAAATCATTTTCCACCAAAGATAGCTGCGTGGTTGGCCAGCGAAAGTTTGTCTACTCCGACAGAACAACAAATTCTAGCGATCATCATACAAAATTATGATAGCCTTACGTTGAAATTACAAGATAACTTAGATCAATACGAAAGATACTCCGAAAAGCCTGATCACGTTGCATTTTTCGAAGAAATGGTAATGTTTTATTAAATATTTAGGTACTGAATATAGAACTACGATTGCATGGTATTCATGCTTCTTTTGCAGGTAACTGGAGTTGTAATTGATACAAGAGGATCGATAGACTTGAATGCATTAGATACGCACGCTATATTACAGGAATTATCGAATATCTCGTAACAAAAGTTACGTACAAAATATGAATTGGGGCCTGTGCATCAATTTGTTGTCATGATGTATTATAATGTATTTTTTTTAATACAGTCAGCTTTACATGTATTTCTTTAACATTTCAAGGAACGTAGTTTACGAAGTTGTGAAACATCACAACGTGATAAGTTTTCTCATTACACTATATTTCTATGAATTTGTGTATACAAGGTTTCAAGAGTTATTAAAATTTAATAAGTACGAAATTGAAAATAGTTTATTGTAGATAGTCTCGAATTTTTCTTCCGATAATTACAAAATATTAAAAAATACAATATTATTTGCATCAGTATTAATATTTTTTAAAAATACATAATTACGCCTATGTTTTCAACTGTTTCTTTGCAAGAGTTGCCATACCAGCTTTCGACTGATTCTTTCTCTGAAGTTGGCTACTAATTGAATCACCGATTTCTACTATTTTATCAAAGTCCACTCCTGTTTTTAAACCTTGTCCATGGAGAAGGTAAAGCAAGTCTTCAGTAGCAATATTTCCAGAAGCACCTGCTGCATATGGACATCCTCCCAATCCAGCAACTGATGAGTCAAATACTCTTATATCATGTTCAAGACCACAATAAATATTCGCCAATGCCTGTCCATAAGTGTCATGGCAATGAAGTGCAAATTTATTCATATCACCTGATATTTTCTTCAATTCACTTAACACTTTCTTTATTTTGTTAGGAGATCCTGTACCAATGGTATCTCCTAGAGAAATTTCATAGCATCCAAGCTCTAACATTAATTCAGATATGTTTGCTACCTGCATGGATTTAATTTCTCCCTCGTAGGGGCAACCAACAATACAAGATACGTAGCCCCTAACTTTAACATTATATTTCTTAGCTTCTTCAACAACTGTTTTAATATTTTTTATACTGTCATCAATAGAACAATTAGTATTTTTTCTTAAAAAAGTCTCAGATGCAGCACTGAAAACTGCTATTTCTTTTACATTTGCTTTCAATGCACCTTCTAAACCTTTCAAATTAGGAACAAGAACAGGATATGATATGTCAGGCTTCTTGTTAATCGTTTGATAAACTTCTGTATTGTCTGCCATTTGTGGTACCCACTTAGAAGACACAAAACTGGTTACTTCTATACTCTTCAATCCAGTTTCAGACAATTTATTAATAAAATTAACTTTAATTACAGTTGGTACAATATTTTTCTCATTTTGTAGTCCATCTCTAGCACCAACTTCGACTACTTTTACAAAATCACTAAATGTTCTTACATATTTAAAACAAAAATTACAT